CTGTCAGCTTCAGTGAGGAACGATCGGCTGGTTGGTGGCTGGTAGAGTTTGACGCTCTGACATAACAAAGTGTGAGTCTCCCAGGCTCACTGTTCCTGAGCTGTGTGCTTGTGCGGAGGCTGCCGTGTGAATAAAGTTACTGTTTGAATAATGACCGATCTGTGTCATCTTCCTTTCAGTCCGGTGACGCTAACCGTGGCAAAGTGTTGGGATCCGAACCCGCGAGGCTGCTTCACGTTGCCGAGAAGTGAGTTATCGTCGGTATTTGTTTGGCACACGAGGTGTTACATAAAGTAATCTGATTACATCACACATCCAAATCTCCACAGGCGAACCAGTCCGTCCCATCGACCCTGCTGCCTGGGTGTCTCACACCGCCGCCATGACGGGGAGGCTCCTCCCACTATACGGTATTACACCCACCATCCTCTGCACCTCCCGTCACCTGTCCATCAGATGCTAACCTGCTACTCTTTTCCAGGCGTGAACGAGGAGAACCACCTCAACATCCACAGTGACATGACCATGGTTGTCAAGGCGATGGCCAATCCCGAGTCTGGCCTGGAGGTCCGAGACAGGATGTGGCTGAAGATCACCATCCCCAACGCTTTCATCGGTAAGAAGTCCGGCTCATATTTTGGTCTGAATCCTGGAACCGTGACCTTTAACCTCTGATGACCATCATGTGTGGGTTCAGTCACTGAGGAAACCTCATCGTCTCGTCTTCACGTACTCGCTCTTCGCTCTGACCTGGTCTCCGCCCTCAGCCAATCCAGCCCTCCACTCTGTGGCTTTGTACACCACCAATGTTAGAGCTACGAATGACGTCCGTCACACACAGTGGCCCGTTGTGTGGTACCCTCAGCGCGGTTTACCGGGACGCCGCCGCCGGCCGAACCCCCCTGTAGGAGCAGGCGCTCGCTCTGGTATCCCCGTGTTGGTGTTGTTCCTGAATCGTCAAAGCTAACATTGGTCTGGGTTCAACATGGCAGGTGACCTGTCACATTGTTGTGATGTCATCGCTTTGGACCATGGAAACAGCACCGCCCCCTTTTTGGGATTTTTTTCCAGAGGGGACATCAACAGGTTTTTTTCCACATTGCTATGACATCACAACAATGTGATTGGTCACTGGCCATGTTGAACCCAGACTAACGTCTTGATGCATTCTCAATCATCCAGGAAAGTAAATCTCCAAAAAGTTGGTCCAAGAACTTGGATGATGA